AAACGTCTTCAAGCAACTTAAAGAAGTCCAGACGCTTTTCTTTGCAAGCTCCTTTGACTACGATGACCTGGATGACTGAGAACCTTCACAGATATAGAGCCAAAATAACCCGCAAAAGCAACCCAAGAGTTTTTCACGGCAAAGAAATTAAATATTCTTCAAAAGCTGAGTTAGTCAGTCACCTGACACTTAGAGGACACTTTAAGTTACTGATGACAAAGGTGAAGACTGGGAGACCCACAACCAAGCAGCAACTGAAGGTGGCTCTCAAAGGCTGTGGGTTCTAGACTTAAGACAGTCATTAACTATAAAGCAGTATTAAAAACAGTCCTTATGTTTACAATTGTATTAATTTATCCAATTAATTGGATAAATTAATTAATTTATCCAATTAATTGGGCTATATATTGGGCTATATATACGAAAAACATTTAAAAAGCTATAACTCCTAAATTTTTAATGCTGTATTTTTGTTAAGCCCCTTAAATTAAAGAAGGAAATCTTGATAGATGAACTGAACTCCAGTGTGGTGTTGTACAGGTGGGAGAATATTGTCCAAATACTTCTGGGTGTAAAAGATCTTTATCAGTTCTGATATTGACTCTTCATGATTTGTTTTTGTCTCATTATCTCACAGTGTGAGATAATGCTGAACATGCCAGCATTGATTAAAAAGCTTGATAAGCTTGAGATTTGAGCTTGAGAGTCAGGTAGCTAAGATAATCTAGAACTGGTTCTTAGTTAGGAACTGTTCTCGATTCTTCCCTAATGTCAGTTTGTGTGAATTCCTTTTTACGATATGGTGTGTACAGAGCCAGTTTCTGTGTTCAAATAAAGAAATCCTATAGGTATGAATGAATCTGTTTCTCTTCTTTCTCACATCATAGACTTGATGTGATGTCAGATAAGCGTCAGCGTGCCAGAGTTCAGGGCTGCTGGGCGAAACAACTGCCAAAACACTCAGGTCCAACAGGTAAATCAAAGTGTTGTGTGTACTGTGAAATGCAAGATTTGCATGCTTTTGCCAGCTCAGGTCATTCATAGAGATAGATAAAAAATATAAGGAATTTTCTTCCTCTCTTATCAAATACAGTTATGTGTTTAAATAAGTGTGACAAATTGGGCTGACATTTACGTAGGAAACAAGATTCTTATTCTGTTTTTTTAAATAGGTGCAGGCCCAAATTGCAATGAATCCAAAAATGCCAACGTGGCCTCTGGTTCTTGGGGTTTTGGGCCTCAGAAAACAACTAAAACCTTTGAATTTCTCCAGCCCTCCCAGGTAGACTGTCCACGTGAAGAAGTCAAAATGAGTCTTTGCTGCCAATAAAAATGAATGTGAGGATACTACTTTTTCTTTTTTTTCTTTATTGCAGCCAATTAGAGATGTGCCACCAGAGAAGGTGATAGAGTAAGTTACTAATTTATATCTTTACTATCACAGCTTTGTTTTTATGACAGATAACGTTTTTAATCACACAATTTTTAAGGTGGCTTAGTGAGTCCTCTACTACATACTTTTAACGTGATTAATTTGATTTGATTGATTGATTTTCAGACAGGCAGGTGATTTTGAGATCAGCCATGGACCATCAGGGGTGTCCAGGTGTGTAAAGTTTAAAAAAAACAATTAAATGGAAAATAGCTGAATGTGTGTTTATTGAACATTGCACAAATCAGTGACTGAGTTTTAAATCCACTAGGTGGCAGTGGTCGCATAATAAATATGCTTTTTCTTAATAAAAGTCATGCTTTTTACTTTATGGTCCCCAGTAAAACACATAAAATGAGCTTTGTTTTTAATAATTAAGAATATTTCATAACTTGTGCTTTATTATATAGTGGAAGGTACAATCAGGCTATTTTTACATAGATTTTTAGCATGTCAATTTTGATTTTATTGTTATTAGAAAAATCTGATTTACAGAGAGACAATGTTATTGTAGTCTGTATTTTGCTATTGAGGTTCAGTTTGAATTTTAGCAGGTCATTTTGTGAGCTTAACAGAATGGTTGTAGTGGATAATAAACCAAAAGTAACTGTCAGTCATTTGATTTTACTAGTTGATCTGGATGTTGAAAAATGTTACTATTTTGCACAAGAGTCTTTTCCCTGTGTATTTCTCTTTCTGTTAAAAAAAAAGAAAGAAAAAGGTTACACGTTTATATTGTTAAGGAGGAATTTTATGCCTTACAGAAATAATTGGAATGCCCAGACTTTAAACTCTTAGAAAACCAGGGTAAAGTACATACTTTATACTCTTACTTTATGTTTATGGGGATTTAGTCTGTGTCTATTTGTCTTTCATCTGTCGAGGCTGCGGCTGCTGCCTGGATTTCTCTCCCTAGAAGAGGCCAACTGGATGTTCAGTAAGCTGCTTGCAGAGCTTCCATGGTCCCAAAAGACCAACTACAGACAAGGTGAGCACTGGGTTCTTAACAGTGTAAACTAGGTGAAATGTGAGTATGTGGTTTGTAGAGAGGAGCGTGAAGAAGGATTGCTGAACTGCTTGTACTTAAAGATCTCTAAATAATAACAGAATACTTTTTGTTGGCAATAGATTTGGGTAATTGTTTAATATACTCTCTTTTTTTAAAGTTATAACTTTTTAATGCAAAGTTTTCCAAATCCAACTAGGTGCCTTGCTCATGTGGTAATTTGTGTATGAACTTTATTTTGAAAAAAAGCTGACACTGAGAACACTCGCATTGTATTCCATATACGGCGACAGACGATATACAGGGGAATGTGCTGAGATGAAGCCAGACTTTGCCTCACAATCGTCCTTTTCTCTCAGCTGGCTCTTGTTCATCTTTTGTGCAATTCTGCAGTAGCTACACAGCAAACAAACAGAATGATGAAGACAAGTGGTCATGATTTCCAAACACTCACCACAGACACAGGGTGTGAAATCATCAATGTTTGGGTTAAGGAAGAGTGGAAAAATACGTGGTGGCTGGCTCTTTAATGTATCACCACTCCTTCATTTATCCTGCCCTGCTTTAAAACAACCTTTAAATGCACTGACTCAGTTTTTCCGATCATTTGGTCTCACAACTTTGAAATGGATACTTTGAATGGGTTTGGCTTTTGCTTATCTTTCTGGCATTTGAGAGTTGATAAATGGTATGTATGTAATAATTCAGCACCATAAAAAGCAATGGCTGCTCAACCAGTTTGTTTTGGTTTCACCATATTCTAATACCAGACGGCTGGCCAAAATACACTGAAGGCAAAAAATTGTTTCTTGGAAGAGAACTATTGGTTTCCCGAGAAAGTGAGGTACACTCAGACCCACAGAGGAAGACAGAGAAATTGGATTTAGATGTTTACGTGACCCCTGTTAGAAAACCAGTGACAAAGAAGACAATTATTGTACATGTTTGTTAGACACTGAAAGAAAATCCAGTAAGAACAAATTTGTCAGTTTTCTGCCCTGACTGAATTGCCTTCATCAAATTACTGACGCAATATAGAGATTGATTTGATGGTTTACTCTATGAAACTGTCCACAGGCAGAGGTCTGGATTGGGGTTTGAGTGGTTGAGTGTTTTATACTTAAAAGACCAATCCATCCATTTCTGCACTTTATCTGGGTCTGGGTTGTTGTGGACATCAGTCTAAACAGAAACACCCAGACCTCCCTCTTTCTGTCCACATCCTACAGCTCTTTAGGGAGAGTACCAAGATGTTCCCAAGCCAGCCAAGAGATGTAATCTCTCCAGTGTCTCCTGGGTCTGCCTTCTCCCTCACCTATAAGGTACCCATAAGGCATCCTGGTCAGATGCCCATCTCAAATGGCTCCTTTAGATGTGGAGGATCAGCAGCTCTACTCCTAGACACTCTTGAAGGGCCGAGCACCCCACTCTATCCCTAGAGCTGAGCAAAGCCACGCTATGGAAGCTTGTTTCTACAAGTGTACCCACCCCTGCCTCTCACTAAGGTGCAACTCCAGAGTGAAACAGAATCCATCCCCTCTCCAGGAGACTGGTTGTAATTGTGTGTTCAGGCAAGCCTTACCATATCTAGCCAGCATCTCTCCACCTGAAGTAGCTTAGACTCCTTCGTGTTCATGGGAGGTGGCGTTCCATATACCCAAAGCCCGTTTCAGCAAGTTTGAATCAGACCGGCAAATCCCCCGCTTTTGACTGCCACCTGATTGCCTCCACAAATCACCACATCATTGTGGCGGAGGGGTTTGTGTACTCTGGTGATCCTAGGTCCCATATTGTTAGGGCATTTTGTCCCTGGTAGGGTCTCCCAAGGCAAATTGGTTCTAGATGAAGGGACAGACGAAGTGTGATTCACAAGACCTTTATGTAGGAAAAACCAGTGGGCCAGTGTACCACACTCAGATTAGGGTTAACGGAGCCAGACCTAAGGGTGGGCCTTGTCAATGAGCATCTGATGGTTGGGAATTAGCCTGCAGTGCTGGTCAGGCTCAGCTCAAAAGAGCCACATGGACACATTTCCTGTGGACCAACCACGTGCAGGAGGGGCCGTAGGGGCCCGGTACAGTGTGCATCAGATAAAATTTCTGTTATTAACCCGGAAATACTAGCACAGCTCTTTTATTTAAGCTTTCAAATAACCACGTTATTTTTTGTGTGTGTGTGCACTAAGACTGGGTATCAAATATCAGCAGATTTTAAATATTCACAGAAATGTGTCCCCCACTGTGCAATACCAAAAAAAACTTTTGTCTCTTGTTTAATCTGGGCAATTTCCTGATCTGTTTGGATGTGTGCGTGTTTTCTGGTCCAGGTGAAGCATACGAGGAACCCAGGCTGACCTGCTGGTATGGAGAGCTCCCATATACCTATGCTCGCTCCACAATGGCTGCAAACATGCAGGTTTGACAACTGTAACAAAAATGTGACAGAATTTTTTTTTCGCACAATCTCTGGCAAAGTCTTTGATTTGTAGGCTAATTGTAGGGAGAATAAAGATTGATCTAAACAGAGTGAAATATTTGCTTTTGTTATATTATTTTAACATTGAGTCTTTCATTTTCCTCATTCATCATTCTGTTTTTCTATCCTTTTGTCATACATTCATTTGCTGAACTCTGCATATTGTTCTTGCTTTTTCCTCAAAGTGGCATCCATTGCTGGTAAACCTTTGCAAGGCAGTGGAGCATGCGACTGGATGCAGCTTCAACTCCCTGTTGTGTAACTTGTATCGGGATGGCCATGACAGCATTGGCTGGCACAGCGACGACGAAGCCTCATTGGGTCAAAAGCCAACTATTGCTTCTCTTAGTCTGGGCGACACCAGAGTCTTCAGTCTCCGCAAGCAGCCTCCACCGGTGAGTTAGCTCACCAGGGTTCATTCTTAACTATAATAAAAACAAGATGAAAGTATTCTGGTAAGATGAGATCGTCTCACAACTAACTTAACTTGTGAAGAAAGGCAAGACGAGTTGGGAAGTGATCCAATCAGAAGTAATCTCCTTGTGCATTAAAGTTAGATGGACACATTTGATCTGCCTCAGGAAACAGTACAACTTGGGAGGAAGAGTGAAGCAGATTAATGGACACATTTCACATTTGATGCCAAAAAAAGAGATGCTTTGCAAACTGTGTGAAGCAAAGCATCAGCATTAGGTGTTTGCATATACACTGAAGATTAACCTTTGGACTGCACTGTGTGTTTTTGTCCTGTAGGAGGAGAAGGGTGACTACACTTACATGGAGCGGATTCGGATTCCTCTGAGTCATGGCACACTTCTGCTGATGGAAGGAGCCACACAGGATGATTGGCAGGTAGGCTTCACCAGGCAGGCAATAAAGTTAAGCCTTGATTACGCTCTCCAAGCCCGCTAAGGTTTGCTTAGGGCTGAGTGATGTAAACTTTGTCATCAAAAAGTGAGTGTGAGTATAATAGTAATCGCTACTAAGCTGCTGGGTCTTCAGCTGTCTGTGTCCACAGCAGAGTATAACCAAAGCTTTATTCAAAGAAAGTCCAGCTACAGGATAGATTCAGGCAGAAATTACAAATTCTTTTTATTCAAAAATGTCTCCCTTTCAGGTGCCGGGTCTTTCGCACTACACCAGGGGTGTCCAACTCCATGTCTCAGGGGCCAGTTTCCTGCAGGTTTTAGATATGTCCTTGATCCAAAACAGCTGATTTAAATGGTTAAGCATGTCAAAATGAACAACATACATATTCAGATAACAAAAGAACACTGATAGTTTGTTTTTAAGGATCTTTTCAGCCTGTTTTACATAGATAGTTTTGTACTGTGATGCTTTTGTAAATTATCTTTCTTGCACAAACTAAGTTATTATTAAAACAGCAACCTTGAAAAAACACTTCTAATGAAACACTGGACATTCACACTGAATAGTCTCCTCGCTGTTGTGCGATAGAGGAGTGTTAGTGCTTCTGACTCACCATGTGAGCATATAGATGTGTGGTGAAGGCAGTCAGGTTCCTCTCGCCTGGCCAACCAGTAACAAGGATGAATGGAGAGGCCTGGAGAGAAGAGTAAGGCTTCAACCTAATGAGAGCCTTCTTTCTATTCTTTTCTTTTCTTTTCTTTTCTTTACGATCAAAGTCAGACCCAACCAGATTTACATGAGTGCAAGGCTCTTGTGTATGTAACAGAGAGAGTAGCTGGGTTCTGTTGAAAATAACTGGGTCACACTCAGGTATGAGAATGAGTTATTACAGCATATTTCATTATGGCCAAATCTATTTGCAGAGCAGGTAAAATGGGCCATGATGTTTAGGTATATCTTTTTAAACTTTGTTCAAGGATGCATAGCAAAACATAGACGCTTAGAGAGATGCTCACACTTGGCTCTGAATTCTTATGAAAGCAATAAGGACACTTTCACTGGACTATACAGAGTTGTGTGGGGGGAAAAAAAATTTCCACCTGACTGTACATATATAAAACGGTTTAAACAAGTTTAAACAAGTGTTGTCCACCGCTAGAGGAATTCAATGATCAAAACAATACCACTGATATAAATCAGGACGGGCCCCAAATGGAGCTATCCTCAACTTTCCACTACACAATGTTCACTTACTAAAAACTAAGTGATGTGAGAGAGTGAGAGATACAAGTTGAGGCAAGGAGATGAAAGAGGTTTGAGCTGAAAGAAGGAGAGGATAAGGTCATAGGTGTTTTATGACGACACCCCCCTGAGTAACTTAACAGGGGCTTCATTACTCTCTTTCAAGAAAAAGATCACTTCAGACATTAATTTTATCTCCATTATTGCAGTCATGGTTGGCCTAACAAAACCATCTGGTTCACTGAGCAAGTTTTAGAAGTGGTGGCTAAATATTTAACTAAACCCATCAGTCCTGCTAAAGTACTTCACGTGTTTGAAAATGGATACAGGAATCATTCTGTGTTTACGTAGCTCTTTTTTTTTTCTTTTCACACTGTGTATAAGCAAACCTTGCACCTCCTTCTCAGATTTTGATGGAGGTGTAGTGGTGTTTCTGCACTTGTGTGTGTCGTTGAGTCCACAAGCTGCACAAAATGTATGAAGGCCATTATTTTCTTGTGCAAAAGGTAGTAGTGCTGGCTTTGCACAGGTGAATAAATGAGACTTTTCCATGTCTGATGGTGTTTCTCTGGACTGTATACATGTGTTGTTGTTTGTTTTTTTTCTCAGATTTGTCTATTATCACTTTACACTCTTTTTTTCTACATAGAACAAAATATAGCTGGCTTAGCTCATGGCTATTCATACATTTCTTTCTTTTGATTCTAGTGGAAAATTTGTAGATGTTGCCCATTAATAGAAACTTAATAGAGCAATACTTGCCCAAGATTGTTAATTGCTCACTTACACTACATTTTTAAGAAAGAATAACTTTTAAATATGTTGCTTATGAGTCTCTCTGTTCCCACCAGCATCAAGTGGCTAAAGAGTACCATGACAGGGGCCCACGCATCAACTTGACCTTCAGAACTATCTACCCGGAGCCAGAGGGCCAGAGGGCAGGTACCAAAATGCGATTCACAGCCAAGTGACTGTAAATCTTCCTCAGTTGGGTACTTGAAGCTGAAGAAACTCTGATTCTACATTTCAAACCGAGTGCGAGATCTGAGGTGTGAACAGCTCTGCTTGAATTTCCAGACTGTGTAAGTGATTATTAATATCAGTGTTGTGAGCAGTCAAGATTATCTGATATTAGTATTATATCTGAAGAGCCAAATGGCCCCTTTTACAACAATAACAGCCACACCAGCCCTGTGAATGAGAACAAGTTCCAACAACATCCATCTTTGGTCTGAATATTGCTTTGGTGAGCTACATACGTGTATTTGATTTAACTTGACCTTTTGTTAAATTTTCATTTGAGCCACATTTTTTCGGCTGAGTTTTAGTTTGAAGCCAAAATGTGTGATGTCAATAGTACCATGTTATTGAAAAGTCTGTCCCAAAGCAAGATCTGAGTACTCACTGTAAGGAAATGTCCTTTAAGTAAATTTACTTAAAGCTTTCTATCTTTGGAGCTTTTTATAAAGAGCTACCACAAAAAGAGAAGAATGAAGTAAAGTGGCCACAACCACTGAAATGCATTTTATTTTTCTTTTGAATAAAAGTTAATGAGTCCCTTAAAGAGCGAGTTCATTTTGCATTGTTGCTGAAACATGTTCAAAGTTAAGGGAACACTACAATGTTAGATTCTGGAATTTATTTATTCAAATGAATGTATATTTGGTAATAAATCACTGGGGATTGCTGGAAACCTAAACTGTTCCTTTCTCTGTTGTATGTTGTGGTTCAGCTTGTTTGGTTAAAAACTCTGAGTTTGTTCACATAGAGATGACGGAAACTTTTCCATTTCAGAAAAAAAGACACAGATCTGGTCAAAATAAAATCTGTACATTCTCCTTCTTTATAGGACTGACTGCACTGACATTAAGGCAGCTGTCAGGTTGTCAGCAGTTCCTCCACAATGAATCATTTACCCTGCATTAGTGTAGCAGTCATATATCTGTAGGAAACTTTAGACATATAAGACACTGAGCAGTGATCAGTCTTTTTTTCATTTGGAGTTTACTGAAATAACTGATCGGTTAAAGTTTGGGAACCAAAACTTGTGTTTCCCATCTCAGAGTTAATCAGGTCAGGAGTTTACAGGTGGACCCAAAGTTTGTTAAAATGTATGTGCATGTGTGCTATTCGTTGATGGTTCTCATATCAGCACCTGCTCCTGCTTTTGAATGAACATAAGTTCTAAAACCTGCAAACTACACTTCTTCTTTGGTAAATAAAAAAAACTTACAGGCCCTTTTTTGTTGTTTGTTTTGTTTTCTGTCTATCAGGTTCTGTCCTGGTTAATTTTACGGTCTCTCAGTATTCACATCTCTGGAAACCTGGTTCGGATTAGGTTCACTTCTACCCTTGTACCATCTACCATCCGTTGCACTTGTCAAAAGCCAATAATGCATATACTTTTCACAGTCATAAAACCACTATGATGGAGCGTGTCTATTCTACCTAAAATATATATTTTTTAGACTCAGCATCTGTAACATTTCTGTTCATTTTTTCAGATACATGAATGCTACCTTGATGAGGAATTGCTTTTGTGTCTTTGTATTCGATGAAAGCATCCAAAAAAAATGCAAATGATACAGGTATCTCAAATGCATTACACAAAGCAGATTCACATAGCCAAGGATGCACCAAGCAGCACACAGAGAAATGGTATGCTGCCATCCATGTCCTAAAGCTAAAAGTTTTACCCTGTATGGTTACAGCTCTTACTGAGCTTTCTGTATACTTAAGCCATCTTCCTGATTTAGTTTGAACTACTATAATAATAAATTAGGGATACATTCTGTATATTAACATTTTACTAGTAACTTTTTATGGAAGGATTGTTGTCATGTTGTTGAATGAGAAGGCCTAAACACAGGACGCAGAAGCAGGTTGAACATAAACTGATAATAGTGAGCCTTTTTTGGCCGACTCAATGAATCCACAAGTGTAGCCCAAGAATCGTAAGAAAAAAGGAGATGACAAAGCAGATTCTCACAAAGGGAAAGAGTTTGTACATCCTCATTTCCTCTCCACACATCTTAGTGTGGCCCACCAGACATGCAGGTATGCAAGCAGTGGAGGTGAAGGAGAATTATCCTTTATCCCTTTACAGCCAAATATCTCCCCCATATACATACATGCACACATAAAAATGAAGACCAAGGGAACCAAGGTGGAAAAAATTAAGAGAAATTAAGAAAAGCCTTGTTGATATATAAAGTTGTATTTATACAATGAAACACTGACAGAAACAGGCCACAGGTAGAAACAAAGAAGACAGACTGCCGACAGAGAAGATACAAGGCCGCGGTGAAAAGAAAGGGGGGTTAAAGTTCTGGTAACACATAAGGAGAAGCGATTTCCGAAGAAGCACAAGAAGTGAACATTAGAAAGACAAATGCAGACTAGAAAGATAAAAACCTTAGAAACACAGAATATCGACAGAATCAAAACAGCAACCAAACCTCCACGAACAGTAAGAGAAACACACGTGGACAACTGTCACACATGGACGATCATAATTTTATTTAGGCAGACTCAAAGTCCTGAGCTGTAATGAAAAGTTTGTCATGTAAATATTCTGGAATCTGAGCATGGTGTTTGCAAAATACAGTGAACAAGAAAGATGGTGCTCCAGGGCTGAGAAATTATGTAACCAGTGTTTTCATTATATCTAAAAAAAAAAAAAATGTGATAAATGTATTTAATGGAAAATTCTTAATCAGTTTATTGTGTGGCTGTAATACAATCATGTGCTACGGTGTACAGACAATGCTTCAGGGCAGTTTTTGGTGTGTTGCTTTGTTTTTTGTCCATTTAGGTCAAACTCAATAGATGGAAAGAGCAAAGAGCTTCAGTTAAACTGGCTTTCTTCTTAAAGGTTATTTGACTGTGTATACATCCACAGAGAGGAGTGTCTCTGCAGTCAGAGTCGTTCAGGTTGATAGTCCACATTCTTTAATTGATCAAGCTTAAAAATAAACCTACAACTAAGGATCTATTTGAACAGTTGTAACCGAGTCTCTGGGTGATTCCTAGTGAAATATAATACGTGTGTGTAAATTTAGATATTAGGTTATCTAGATATTAACAGCCAAGATAGCTGCAAAGAAAAAATCCAAGAAAGATAGATAAAATAAAATGGATTCAAGATCTATGATTGATGATAAACCAATCAATATGTAATCAGCTGGCTACATACAAAGTAAGGTATCTACTACTCAGCAGAGCTGGTTCAGTCTTGACAAAGCTTCATGTTTTAAAGTACAAGTTAGTGAGATACATTTTGATTAATGTAAATATCTAATCAGCTAATCACAGGGAAGTTACTCAACGCATTTAGGCATGTAGTCAAGATCAAAACAACCTTAGTATCAGAATGGGTAAGAAAGATGACTTTAAGAGACTTAACATCCTGTTGTTATTGGTGAATATTTCTGCTGATATGTTGCGATTCCCACACAGTCAACTCTTGGGTTTACAGAGAATGGTCTTAAGAAGGGAAAATATCCAGTGAGTGGCAGTCTATGGGTGAAAATACTTTGCTAATGCCAGAGGTCAGAGGAGAATGGCTAAACTGAGTTAATAGGAAGGTAACATTAACTCAAATAACCACTCTTTGCAAGCAAGGCATGCAAAAGAGCAAACGCATACTGCTATCAAGTCAATATAAATGATTCCAGCTCCTTGTTGATCTGTGTCATAAAGAATTAAAGTAGCTCTGAAAAGTAAAAACACAGTATTGGCGAGGTGTAACTAACAAAGTGGCAATTGAGTGTGTTATATCACTTAGGATTATTAAAAACCTTTGTGAGCTTAATTTTATCATACCAGTTCCAGTTTATTAAGATGCTGCTGTTTTGTTTAGTCCTGATTTATTTGATAAAAATCTTTAATTTATGCATTTATTGTTCCCTTCACAAATTTTATATGACTAACACAATGGCATCTCTACAAGAACAATTTAGTTCAAAGGTAGATTCTGATTTACCTTTTTAAAAAAAACATCTTTAAGATTTTAATATTTACCTTCACATATGCTGCATGTATGAAAGTTATTTTAACAACTTAATACACTTTAAACACTACTTGGCATTGCTAAATTGCTGCAAAGACTCATGGTAAACATGTCTCTCTTTTTTTACCCACAAACAGGTGCTCACCTTCACTAATAAGTATTTGGTGCAGCTAAGTGGATGAGGGATGTGAATGGTAGGGAAGATGGACACTAAAAAAATTGAATCTGTCAACCACCAGAAGAGTTCACAAGGATGCAATATTTGATTTTCTGTTTCAGATTGGGCCGTATTCAAGCACATTTAGCATTTACTACATTAAAAAAAAGAAAAAGATTAGATTTCAGGTTTTGAACAGCCCTGTGGGATATAGTCACTGACACTGTAAACTCCCTGCAGCGCTCGCTTAACTCAATTTTCCATGTACCTTTGCATCAGTACAGCACCTACTGTAACCATGACAACTTCCTTGATGGTCTAAACTGTCTGTAATGTCTCTCTGGAAGACTGAAGATTTTGAGAGAGTTAATGAGGGAGACCCTCACTTGTAACAGAGTGAATGTTGTATAATGGGTCCTAGGAAATGTAGCATGCTGTGCCCAAATTTCAGTGCCTGCTTAAAGTTGGGACTAAAGAGGCACAGAACATTTTGTATGTGACAGAAACATCACATTGTTAGAAGGTTTGGGCTGAACACTGTTTGGTAATGTTCCAGATCACATTTCCTGTAGCAAATCCTGCACCTGCTTCCCAAATTCTGGCTGCCTTCTAATTGCTCTGAAGATTTACATCTGTAATAATCAGAATCAAGAAATTAAGTAGAAGAATTTTTTTATATGAACATTGTTGCTAATATTGTATAACAGCATTTTTCAATGTTTTATTAAAACCTAAATAAATCATAATGCACTGATTTTTAGATGATTAAACACTGAAAACTTTGTATGGTGTTTCCATGTTCTCCCTGGGCCTGTTTGA